AAGCCTGAAAAAATCAGGGCTTCAACGGGATTCGAACCCGTGACCTCCGCGATACCGGTGCGATGCTCTACCAACTGAGCTATGAAGCCACACATTGGCTACTTTACCAACTTAGCTGATGCCAAGTTGGTAAAGTAGCTCCGTTTTAGTGTGTGTTAGTTTTATGGAGGGCTGGCAGCTGTTCATTGTTCATGACAGTTTCCTGTCTATCAAAGTACTATAGAATAGACAGGCCTTGTTTTAATTTAACTTTAATGTCTCTCCTTTTGTCAGTATTTCCTGTACTTAAGTCTAAAAGATGATGCTAATCGATGCTAAGGAAAGACATAATACAAAATTTTAAAGGAACGTGCTGCTTCTCAAGTGCCAACAACTTAATATTCAGTGTGAATATTCAGTGTTATCTATGCCGTGGAGACCACGACTATCGTTGGTTTTAAACATAGGTGTACGGGAACCTTCGGACTTGGTGGGGGTGGTGACCTTGCCCGAAAAAATTACGCAATGCCCGAATGCGGGAGTGTTGAAATCGGGATGCAAACGCACTCAAAATGCGTCAAAAACAAAAAAGTTCACAAAGATAGTTATATTGAAAGCTTGCATACTCAATAACCTCTATCAACAGTCTCAATCTAGTGAAATCTAAAACTTATTAAAAGAAAAAGTTCTCCCTGTATGGCGCTCGTTCAGCGATCGGCTGATCAGCAACAGAGATATGGGCCGCTTGGACGACCGTTACAGAAGCTAACCTATATTCAAGACGAGCGTCTTGACCTGTAAGCTTTTGTACATTATGCTTTTATTTCGCCACTAAAATGCTTCGCGTTAATGCTCCATTTTTTCCACTAAAATGCACGGTCTCCCACCAAAAAGTCACTAAAATGCTCGGTTAATGCTATTAAATAGGGTTTTTAAATTTTAATAATTTTAACAGCTCAGGGTGCATACCTAGTATAACTCAACGTATATGTAATAGTTTTCATAATGTTCTTTTAATTTGATTTCTCTACTCGGTTGTATTAGGGTGGCATTTGAACTTTTTCAATCTCAAGTTCATTTTCTCGTAAAAAATAATTTTTATTTCTATTTTATGTACGTGGAAAAAAATTAATTTCCCGGGAAAATGCCACTAAAATGCTCGAATAATGCTTAATGCTTTTGCTTCATTAAAAATTTAAATGTTCGAAAAAATGCTGGCATAATGTACAAAAGCCTATCGACATACTCGAGACGTTCAAAGAACAATACGAGGCATTACTAAGAGTCGTCTTGTTTCGGCCACAGCAGACTTGAAGCGTACACTGCAAGCCTTTCATGAATTCAGAAGCTACGTAAATAAGATGGTAAACAACATGGACGTACTAGAGAAACACCTCCAAAGAAAAATTCAAGAAAAAAATTGTAACACCCCATTGTAAAGACATTACAATGATCTGGTCTTCGTTCGCTCTGATTCGTGTCCTTGTTTTGTCGATGGAAAATTGGGAAAGAAAATAACATCCTTATCGTGGATTTCCACGATACACATTTAACCGACTTGTAGCTAACAGATCACTCATATCATTTCAGTCTAAGTCCTTTTTTGCAAGGCAAATGCCAGAGAAAATACCTTACAAGCCTTGAAACCTAAAAGGAAAGGCCGGAAAAGGAAAGGAAAGGCCGTAGTCCCGACTGATTACCATGGCGTCTTCGGTGTGCAACGACACTTCAGATCAGCAGCAGATGCAAATGGTGCACTTTACACAGGACTAATTTAGGTAACAATTCCTTTAAGAAACCACTCGACGGCCTACAGACCCCCGGTCGGGCATCTACTAACACAGAGAGACATAAAAAGTAGGAACCTTTTCTTTACGGGTTTTGGAAATCACATCAACAGCATTATGTTGTAATGTTTTCTCTCAAGTGTCGTTGCCCGAATCCTGAGCGTTTTGCCCGAAAAATTACATAATTTCCGTACTTGGGGGTGGGGNAAGAGTGACACCACGAAGTACAATGATGTTAAACCGTACAAAACTATCAAGCGAAATAAATTTAAATGCGTCAATTTTCGTGCGACAATTTCAGAATGTGAAATGAAGTATTAAAATTCAGTTTTTGTTTTGTTTCTTTATTCAAGAATTAAACATCAACATAACATTCACACAGAATATTTCAATGCAAGGACAACTTGTTGTAAACCAATTCACTTTTTTTAAAAGAACATCATTACTTACTATGCATTACTCACAATACAATGCTTGTTATGTACAACACAAATTTACCGATATGACAAATAACCTTTACGAGAGCATCAGTCCTCTATTCTATTACAGTCTATGGAAATGCACGTACTGAGAGATTTGTGCATTGTTTCTTTTTTTTTTTCCTGTATTTATTTGTGTCCCCAAATTAGTATGGGATTTCCCCAGGCTACCAGGCATTGACACTTGTAAATAAAGTTTCTATCTATCTCTCTAAGCACCTCTCTGGGAAAACAGAAATGAAAATTCAAAAAGCTGATACTGTAGAGCTTAAAAGAAGTCGGCAAGAACTAAGACGATGAACAAAAAAGTACTTGTCTGATTGTGTCCTTCACGGTCTGTCTCACCTCGTTAATTTTCCAACAGTAAAGAATCGGGTTTAATGACGAATTTAAATACACTACTGTGACAGTGCCCAATTTAGTAAGAGAAACAGGCGAGAATTCATCGCTTGCCGGATTCGACAAAACTTGTCCGACTACGCCAACTACACTATATGGTAGATAACAAATAAGTAGTGTAAACTGCACCCACAAGGCACTGGACACTGCCTTTCTGTATCGCGCTATGTTGAGTGGAATTTTTTGGCGCGCATGTTCTTTCTGAGCGTGGTCTTGTTTTGGAGGTTCGCAGCGGTCTTCACTGTGGCGGAGAGTGACATAAATCTTTGTGTAAGAGAAGATTGAGGTTACCAGACAGAGGGTTATAACTAGATAGCTATACCACAAGGTTATTGTCGAATTCCACAAGGACAAGGTTGCAGCGACAGCGGACACCACCCAAAAGGCTGTTACAATCACGCGTGTTCGCTTCAAAGTTACAACACATCTGTATTGCAGCCTCAGCATTAGGGCAAGAAGTCTGTCCACGCTTATTGCCGTTGACGTCAAAAGGGAGACTGAGCATAAAACAAGGCCTGTTATTAGGGCTGAGGTACTCGCGTAGCGGCAAATATCAGAGCGCTCGTTCACCACAGACATCCAGTAGGAAACAGCGAGAGGCTCCGTAATGAATGCAACGCAAAGATCAGTTGTTGCCAAACAACGAAACAAGAGTTTGGACGGCGGATGAAGGGAAGAGTTCTTGTGAAGAGCGATTAGGATCAGAGTATTCCCCAGAAATGCAGTCACGGAGAGAAAAATGTTTATAGCTGAAAACAATTTCAGCTGGTGTGGTATTTTTCCGGCAAAAGATGTTGAGCAGAACAGTTGTTCCAGTGTTGCTTGTTTTCCATCTGCACTGGTTATGTTTGTCATGTCGTGTCTCTGCATTATGTTACCTGGTGTTTCTCCACACGGCTGAACTGTGAACAGTATTTATTGTGGTCTCATGATGAGACTCTTTTTGTGATCTATGATGTTATTCTGTCGGAACTTGTCAAACCCACTGAATTACGTACTTTAAGACCATACGGTTACGGACATTTTGCAGACTTGCAAAGAATATTTTGACTTGCAGATTTGAGTGCACCACTACCACATGTTCACTGTAATTGGTTCTTACAAGTGACTATGTGAAAGATCATATATTTGAACTGCGAAGAAAGATATGAAGACATCAATGATCATCGCAGTTATACACACAACTTAAGCAGCTGTGAAATTAATTTTTTTTCAGGCTTTAATTTGAATTTGTATTGAGGCGTTACACACGTTCTTCGGCGCAGATTTTGTTGGGTTGATATGCGTACAATAGAATGAAGAAAGTGTATGGACGGCTTGTGAACTGAAAGCGGAATTCAGCATAACTAAAAACACTGACTGCATTACCATGTTTATACTAGCATCGAAAAGCACTTGGAGTAAAATGTGTTTGAGAAAGTGCGTGTTAAACGTGTGTTTACGCCCACAGAAATGACGAATCCTTCGCACGCGAATTGTGTAGTTGGCGTTTAGTGTTTTCACAGTCCCAGCGATCAGCAGTTAGCGGTCAGATATATGTAGGTGGGTTGACCTTGTAATTAGGCTGCTCTTTTCCAGTGCTCCTTGGTTTAGAACGTGTTCGTTTCATTAGCTCTGGTCACATTAAAGTGGCTCTATAGGGATAACGACGTTAGGTAAACGTCGAATCGTCGTCGTTTTTTTAGCATAATTGTTCGTTTCATTATCTTTGGTCACATCAAGGTGGCTCCATAGAGATAACGACGTTAGCTAAGCATCGAATCGGCGTCATTTTTTAGCATAATTCTCTTGGCGTCATAATTTTCCAAAATAAAAAATTATCAATCCTACTGAAGTCTTAGTTTTCTCAGATGCAAGACCTTCTAAGAACGTGACATTTTACAACGTTTAAGCTCGACAACGTTCTTCATTTTGTTATGGAGCACGTTTGAATTTTATGCGTTGGGTGACATTAAAATGGCGGCCCGATAAGGCTCTTGAGTAGGTCAAAAGATGAGTTATTCTTCAAGTTTTTGCAAACTAACCAGTTCTTGCTCCAGACGAAGTCTTAATTTCAATATGCCGGAGCTCTAAAGTGATAACTTTTCGTTTAAATAGCAAAACTCAATGACAGATGTTTCTGTTACTATACGGCCGCCATGTTGGTGCCTCTTCGACACCAACATGGCGTCTCCATACAAAGCTCTATAAACTTGAGTGAAACACTTTTCCGAATAACGCGCGAATGAATAACCGCACAAACATAAATCTTGGCGAGAGTGTTTATATATCATTCATCTATCATGTCCCAGGTTAAAAACAACATATTCTGTAACTCGAGAACTGTAACAAAAAGCTCTGATAGTCTTAATGTTCAATATCACGTCCAGATGAGAAAAAAGACTTTATCTTTGATTCTTCTTTTGTCAGGAATGGATGACGTCTTACCTAACCATAGCCCTTACATTCCAAGAATAATGAAGGTAACTTTCTACCTTGGTGTTATAAATTACATCAGTTACTTGTAGTTCCAGGTAAAGTGTAGCACGTTCCAGACAAGACGATCGGTTAGTTCACTTGGGAAGTAGCTTGAAGAACGGTGAGGAAAAACACTGACGACGGTCAACTCGCCGCCCCTTATTCAGTTCGCGTTGCTCCCTACCTAGTCAAAACAGCACAATAAATAATTACATTTTGAAACGGGCAAGGGGTGGTGTAGTATTAAAAGCCACGTGAGATTTTGATGTTGAGGTAGATCGGGTTGTTGGCCTGAACATTTGGTTCATTTTGTTCTGGCCTTGTTTACGCGCAAGCCTACGATCTGTTAGCTGGATTTCGCTGCTTTCTTGTTATCCCTCAAGTGATGGCTGGCCCAGTTTGTACAATCTGTTGAGCTACGACTGATTTTATAACGCGGGCGGAATACTATCTGCGCCTTCGTTGTTTTTTTTGGAGTAAACTGGGGCCTGCAAGTCGTAAGAAGTTAATCGACTTTAAACCAACGGAAATGTTTTGTATTTTTCTCCAGAGAGTAACGGTGCTTATAGGAGAACCAATGGAATTCACCGAAACTGTAGAGGAATACCGGAAAGCAAAGAAAAATGCTGTAAGTTGGTGTTCTAAAGTTTCATTAGAGCGGTTTTTGATTGAGTGTCTTAAAACCAAAACCAAAGTGCGGTGGAACCCCGTTAATCCAGTCAACAACGGGCCACAAAAATCTGGCCGTGTTAACGGGGTGTCCGTATTAAGGATGGTGCTTACTAAATACAAAGATTTTTGCGCCAGGTTAAGACAACGCAGAAAAAGTAGACCTTTGCAAAGGCTATTGGGATCCACAAAGAAAAATGGGGGTAGCCACGCATTTTTTCGAAATAATTA